TCGGCTTCTTCAGCATCGGCGTCACATCGAAGGTACCCTCTATCTGCCTCTTGCCCGTCACCTGGAGGTGGACCTCCCGAACGGCCTCCGCTTCGGCCACCCTCTTCTCCCGACGACGATCGGCCATAGTCGTCTCATCCGCCGAAGCCCCTCCAGATGCCTCTACTGCCTTCTTCTTCTTCGGACGAGGGGACTCACCCTTCTTCTGCTTCGACGCCCCATGGCCCTCCAGCCGCCTCATCGTCGCCTTGCTCATTGGCCTTCCACCTGCCACTGCAGTAAACACAAGTCAGATAGGAAACGGTAGAAACGGAAAGAGATGAAAGAAACCTGCCGAACGGCATCTCTTACTTTGTCTTTTTTCTTCCTCCTCTTCCTCCTTCACCCTTCGGTCGTGTTATGCTTTGCCGATCAAGCCCGCCTTGAACAGGTTCCGAGCTCGGACACGCTCGATCGCTTCAACCTCTCGGATCGGCGCAGCAGGCCGTTTCAGAGACACTGGAACAAATTTGTAAACGGTTATTAAAAATAAAATAAAATAAAATAAAATAAAAATTAAAAAAACCCCACAGCCCTGCCGAACGGCAGGTTCAATCCTACCGACTGTCTGAAAGGTTGTAGGGATCCGCCTCTCGACGATCACTCCTGGTGCCGATTCCCAGTCACCAGAGACAATCACCCGACGCTTGCGCCACGTCTTTTGAGAGCTCGGCACCCCAACCACAAAATGTCCACGCTGCCCTGCCGAAAGAAAGTTGGACTGTACCCACCCCCCTTGATCGGCACTCTTCGCCCTCGTTACACTGTACAGTTGGGCAAACTGTTCATAGCTTGGCTCTCCACTGTACCCCCCCCCCTTGATCGGCACTCTTCGCCCTCGTTACACTGTACAGTTGGGCAAACTGTTCATAGCTTGGCTCTCCCTCCCCAGCCATGCCGAATGCAGCGATCGTCCCGAGCAACGTAATCCAAAAATTCGGATTATATTGCCCCGGCGCATACCCAATCGCCGCCAATATCTTCTGCACTGAATGCCTCAATGGCAGCCGAAGCCCATGCTTGAAGACATCGGTGAAGAAGACCACGCCCTTGTCATTGTCACTCAATGACTCCAACGGCGCTGGAATTCGCATCCCTACCGAATCAGGGATATTGTACTCCGCCCGAATCTTAGCCAGCTCAGATTCGGTTAGCGTGTTCGGCTCTAAGTGATCTGCTCCGAACACCAACTCCTTCGGCTTCGCCATTGGGATCCGTTGCCTGCCAGTGACAACCCTCAGCACCCTTTCCCCTGGTGCAGCAACGGACACGTCACCTGCGCCAACCTCACGACCCGAAGTCGAAGGCTCACTATCTTGAGCCAATCCACGCGAAGTACCACCAGCCTCGGTGCGTACTCCTGCCCCTTCCACTATCTCACAACTTGACGAGCTCCCAGAATCGGCACTCTCACTCCCCTCGGACGAGCTTCCCGAGGACGAATCGTCCTCGAATGCCCTCGGACTATGACTACGCTCGGATTCGGTATCTGACATCTACAACAACACACGATGGGAAACTAAGTGCCATGCTGGAATCAAAGTCCTATTCTACCTCCTAAACACTTATGTTCAAGCTTGTTCATGTTTGTTCATGCTTGTTCATACTTTGTTCATACAAATATTCAACAAATTCATCACTTTGATTCACAAAAAATCATAAACACAGCAACATACCTTGTTCACACGGTGGTTCCTAGTTGCCGGAAATCGCCTCCGCCTTGTTCAAGCTCGCCGGAAATCGCCTACTCAGCCTTCACACGGTTGCCGGAAATCGCCTATCTCAAGCTCTGATTGTTCTCAAAAACTTCTAAGTATTCCAACTATCGTCACTTCCTCACATTTATAGGACGAACCTAGCATCGGGAAGCGAAGCGACGCATCGGGATATGAAACGACGCGACTCTTCACAGCCATGCCGACACGTGTCACACATGTATGGGTGAGCCCAAGCATCGTCATACGAAACGCTTCAACTTCCTAGACGTTGCAGCTCTAGCCACTTTCGAAGTCCACTGGCGAACGGCAGGCGCACATTGATGAGTCTTCACTCACCTTTCGTGCCGAACGGCAGGCGCACGTTGATGAGTTTCCACTCTCCTCTCGTGCCGAACGGCAGGTGCACTTTGTTGAGTTTTCACTCACCTATCGTGCCGAACGGCAGACATTTCCAAAACGGGGCCTCCATACCCCTCAACCCATTCGGTACATCATGCCGCCTCTTTTCCAAGCTCACTCGCTCGGACACTTGGGGGACTACATGCCACCATTGGCAACAATGAGACCGTCGAGTCCGGATCAGAATGCCGAAGACAGATTCAAGTCCCCAACCGAGAAGTCGCTTCTCAATCGGTAACTTGGGGGACTACTGTTTGTACCATATCTGACCCTCCACTCATCCAATGACACGTGGATCAGAGAAACTCCCCAAGTGCCCTAAGCTTCGAACAATCAGCATCGGCTACCGATGATACTGTCCCAAAGCAGCAAACGGTCGCTACAGACCCAGCATAGTCTACAATCGGTATTCCCTATCGATTCTGCTGAATCAACCTCGAAGCACCCGCCCGAAATATCTAAAGACTC